GGCAGAGGAGGGACACATAGGACACCCACTGGAGAGGGAGGGCACAGAAAGGACACCGCAGGGGAGGGCGCAGACAAATCACCAGTGGGGCACCTGGGGGATGGGGGATGGCCTTGGGGCCCCGCAAGAGCCAGGGTATCCAAAGGGAAAGTGGGAAGGGCAAGGTGAGAAGGTGGGGGTAGGAGGCCTGAGGAGTGCCTACCGTAGTCCTTCCTGCAGAACTTTTTCAGGCTGATGCGGTAGCTGCCACGAGTGGGTTTGCAGTGCAAGTCGCAGTCTGGGGAGGGGGGATAAGGTAGTGGGGAGGCTGGCACAGGCCCTCACCTTTGTCCCCCAACCAACCCTCCTACCCTCCTTGAACCCATAGCACCCCTCCTCTCATGGATATGCCAGTCTAGGACCCTGGTATGTGTCTACTCACCCTGCGACTCCACAGGGCTGCTCTCCTCAGTGGGTCCAGGGACAGGGGTCTCTGCAGAAGGGTGGGAGAATGGCCTGCATTTGAGGGGGACGGGGGATCTGGAGGGCTCAGGGGATAGGTAGGCAGCAGCAGGGAGCTGGGGTGGCCTAAGAAGGGCAGGGTCACTTACTAACACAGGGTGCCACCGGCGAGCGACTCTGTTGGAAGCCAGGAGCGCAGCGATTGCAGGTGAGGCCAGTGACACCATCCTTGCAGGGACACTGGCCTGTGGTCTGATTGCAGGTTTTACCAGCAGCACCAACAGGGTGACAGTCACAGGCTGAGGACAGAAGTGAAAATAGTCAGAAATCCACCTGGGGATACGGGAAACCAGAGGGTGAAGGTATGCAGGCTCACCCCTGCAAGCACGGCGGTCACTCGGTGCACGGCCTGGGTCACGATAGAAGCCCTCCCGACAGTAATGGCAGTGACGGCCAGCGGTATTATGCCGGCAGTTGAGGCAGACACCGCCACTGCGACGGCCGGACAGTCGGTACAGCTCCATGTTGAAGCGGCAGCGGCGGGCATGGCCATTGCAGGAGCAAGCTGCAGAGAGGGATGGGTCAGGGGCAGGCTGGCTGGGTCCAAGATCCCCAGGCCACCCTCCAAGGCCTCACCAAGGCAGGCGTGGGCTTCCCGGGCTGTGGCCCGCTGCCACGGCCTGTCGCAGTAGAATGGCTTGCAGCGGCCACAGTCGGGACCCTCGGTGCCATGCCGACAGTCGCAGATCAGGTGGCCCTGGGTGTCCAGCAAGCACCTTGAGGCATGCCCATTGCATTTGCAGCGCCCGCCCACCTGGAGCTCAGTGGCTGAGTAAGAGTAAGGGACCATAGCCTCGGAGTCTCTGGTGTCCCCCAGCATGGCAGGCCTTGTGAGCACTACTCGAATGTCTGTGGCGGTCACCCAGTCTTGGAGGACCGGGCTGCTGTCCAGATCGAGGCCTGGCGGGCTGCTGTCCTGCACGCTGAAGGCCAGAAGGCCACCACCATCAGGTTGGGTCTGGGGCTCAGGAAAGCACAAAGCTTCAGGCCCGGGGCCAGCTGGGCCATTTGCAGGGGCAGGCAGGCGGCCATAGTCCAGGCTACAGCAGGAGGAGAAGAAGCCCAGCGGGACCCAGCTGCGGCCATGGTCCTGTGACTTGAGCAGGGCCACTGAGGTCGGGGGTGTGGAGCAGAAGCGCAAGCTCACGAACACCAGCTCAAAAGTTTTGCCCAGGGGTACTGTGAGAGTCACGTTGAGGGGGGCCTGAGTCAGCCAGTCCGAGCGCCAGCACACAGGGCTTGTGGTACCCCCTGCAAAGGTCAGAAGAGTGGCAGGGTGTGCCCTCCGCGGGTCTGAGGAGTCGCAGGTCTGCGTGGGAGGCTGCCCACACGTGCTGGACGCCAGCACCTCGCGGCCCAAGGCCGCATTCACCAGGCCAGGCACGCAGACTCGGGGTGCGCCCCCCTCATCATGGCAGGGGTCGGCGGGCGCTGGCGGCCCCGGGCTCAACGCGGCTAAGAGCGTGCCCGCCGTCACCAGCATCCCCCAGGGCCAGATGGGCATGGCCGGAGCCGCCGTGGGTCAGCCAGTTGGCCGTGGTCCCACGCCGCTGCCCTCGCGGGGGTATAGCCTGGGTCTGAGCCTCTGCCTGCCGGCCCGCAATGTCCGCAACCGCAGGCCCCAGGCGACCCCAGCCGGGGCCCAAAGGTGGGAGCAGCAGCGGGCACGCCCCGGGCCTAGCGCAGCAGCAAGGATGTTGGCGGGTCCTCCTGCTGGGCCTGGAGCGATGACAGCC